GAAAATTTAAATGCATAAACTAAAGGGTAGACAGAGAGATGACACCATGAATTTTTATAGTGGTTCGGTAATCTCTACTTCATTTCTTAGGTATTTTACTGCAACGACTCTCTTGCAGGTGAGAACCAAACCGATCGACCCTTTTTGTGTCCTAGGCTAAAGAGAAACCCACGATCATTTTTACTGGTTTAGGATCCAACCAATTGTGTTTTCTCACAACGTGTGCCCACACCTTAATACAAAACCCAAAATATGAAATAAGCAATAAAAATAAAATACCTCGCTAAGGTAGATTTACAAATTTCGCACTAAAGTAATAGCTAAAAAAGCTAGACTCTAATGTATCTGTCACAAATAAATATGGACAAATTTTTGTGTGGAGAGAACCAAATTTGAGAGCACAATAACTTGAAGGGAGAAGATGTTTGCTTTGATAATTGGTGTATGAAGAAAGGTGAATTTGCACTACAACAAAGTTGAGCTGTTTCGACCAACTATGACCAACTATTATCGAAGGTTATTGAAACCCTTTGAAAAACAGTACATTTATCAACAAGTTTTAAAGTATTTGAAAAATATATGATTTTTTATCAAAGGTTTTTAGAAAACATTCGAAAATTGTGCCTTTTATTATCAAAGGTTATTAAAAACCTTAGAAAAAGATACACATTTATCAACAAATTTACAAACCTTTAGAAATTGTTTTATCTTTTACCAAAAGTATATTGAAGACATTCGAAAATTATTATTTCATCAAAGGTTATTCAAAACATTTGAAAAACAATACATTTATTAACAAATATTTAAACAACCTTTGAAAATTATGCAACCTTTTATAAAAAATTATTTAAAACCGTTGAAAAAGATACACATTTATCATTTTAAACAACCTTTGAAAATTATGCAACCTTTTATAAAAAATTATTTAAAACCGTTGAAAAAGATACACATTTATCAATAAGTTTCACAAACCTTTGGAAATTGTGTTTTGAAAACCTTTATAAAATATTTTTATTAATTTCTTTTTATCGAAGGTAACAAAAACCTTAGAACAATATTGAAAACATATTTAAAAATTTATTCCAAATTATTTATTTAGATTTTAATCGAAGGTTTTTAAAACTTTCGAAAAAGATAAGCTTTTATTGAAGGTTATTGAAAACCGTCAAATAAGATCTATAATATTATATTATTATTAAGAATAATATCATTTACTTTAATTAAATAAGTTACGTTTCAACAGACTGAAACGTAAACCCAGACCTAATTCGTACTTTCTGTTGCATTTGCCGTTGAGCCACCGCACCCTACATCATCCCGTCCAGCCGCCACTGTTCGTTTGGTTTTTGAAAATTTTATGGATGATCGCTGGTGGTTTATGGAAATTGTTCGTTCTTCTTGCTTGTTCTAATTTGGATTCAACCGGAAGTTTTATGGAAATCGTTGTTGGATCATGGAAATCGTTCTCTACGATTCATTCCTGTTTGGTTGAGAAACATTTCTCTCTCTTTTGCTCGCGCTGAGGAGCAGAAGGTTTGTCTATTCGCTCTTAATCGAACTTAGTCCAACGAATTTGCATCCATATTCTTCGTCTATTATCGTTTTTTTTCATTTACTCTTATGTTGTACCACTCAAAATTAGTCCAACGAATTATGGTTCGAGCTTTCGCCCTTATTGGGGATATTTAATTGCTGGAGAATGTGAAGTATTCGGGAGATACAATCTTTAACTTGGTGCAAACCATTCTTGTGAGTAGATTGCCATCGCAATTCCCACAATCTGGCAAGTAGGGACAGCCTCTCCATGCTCTATCATCAATAGATTCAACACAAATGTTAATTTCTATTCACAATATCAGTTTCCAACACTAATAGCCTTTTATGGATAAACTTTCCATTATATTATGATCTTTCCCCTATTTTTTATTTTGTTTCAGTCATTATGAGTCAAATAAGTGTATTACCATAATCTAGATATAAACTAGTTTGGTATTGCAGCTTAATGATCATGACTTGTGCTTGTGAATGGAATTAGAGATGCTTAATTTAAATGATATATGGGCTTGTTGGGTAGACTTGTATTTTAGTTTAAACGGACATTGTAAAGACTTTGACCTTCATTCTCAGTTTGTAATAATGTGAATTCATAATAACTTAATTCAGAGATTTACTTGCCTTTCAGGAGTACTTGATAAAGAGGTTTATCTATTTTTGGTACTTTAAAATTATATGTTATTAGGCAAGATGTCACTGAGACTGCTTGATGTGATCATAATTGGCTTCAAGTCATTGGAACTAAGTTGAGCCAAGATGAGAGCATCACCGCACACTCAAACGCAACAAGCGCATACAAACCTCGCATGGATACGCCCTTCGCGGGCGCGCCTACGCTCCGCACACATTCGTGCCCTTGCACGCCTAACCAGACGCAGGAGGCGCATGCCCCACCGCACGCGCATCTCTGCCGCATGACTACGCCACCAGCGGTGGACTAACCTCACAAGACACTGTCTCACGCGCGCCCGCCAGCGTCCAGTCCGAGCACGCCTTCGCCCGCGCCCTCACCTATTGACAGCG